ACTGAAGTAATCGACTTTCCCAGATGGACAGGTCAGCACAGTGTATCAGCCTAGGGAGAAATGAAGTCCACACTGTTCCATTTCCCCTGCCTGTCACCAATAGGTTATCCCCATCTACCCTGGGGAAGCACATTAACAGGTGGAAGTCCTTTAAATTTCAGGCCACATATCCTTACTTTCCAGTTTCAAAACCCACTATTTGAGTAATCTATCTAATTCTTGGTCACTCATCATCAGTCACTCAATCAGTCAATGTTTGCAGCCTCTGGTGCAAAAGAGGCATTATGAAAAGTATTTGATACCTGAGCACATTTCAACAACATTAGTTCTAATGTTCAGACTGAAGAAGAAGGCCATACATATTTAGACGTTAGTCTTAGACTAACCTTCACCAATGCAACCTAGTTTTTGCCATATCTTAATCCCCACCTGTCATCCATGAAATTGGGTTTCCATGCTTAATCATCACTCCAAAAGGAAGCTGCTTGAGGGATTACTGTACTTCAGCGAATCCTCTAAAATATTTCTTGATCCACACCTTTCACACCAATATAACCATGTGTTCCTTGGGTGAAGCCATACCCCTCAAAATCATTCATATGTCTTTGGTGATGCTGTTCATATTACTACTGAGCCAAGAAACATAAAAGCTAGCATATGCTGATACAACATACACTCCCTGCATACATGTAGGCAATGATCCATCCTCTCTGTCTTGCAATGCTTAGTATGAGAAATATTCTTGATACAATCACGGGTCTGAGGACCCACTAAAATCTGCTGGATGAAGTGATAAGAAGGGATCAGTAAATGATACAGATGACCCAGTGTCAGGGACTACACCTGCATGATATATCATACTCATAAGGAGACGACAAAGGTTTATGGATGACATCTCCTACAGTCTCCAAATCTAATGCAAGAGGGTGAAAAACAAGATGCACAAAAAATGAAGTTTCCTGAATTTTGAAAATAGATACCATAAATGTTGCGCAAGAATTGAAGAAAAAATCTTGATATATAGTCTGCCGGGTACAGCCAATAAGTCTTTTATTCCTGCATTCAAGAAGTGATACCGGGTACCACTGCAAGTACACTTTTGAAAGTCTGACATACTACTAATGACATCACTTCTTTAACTACCAGACTAGTTTCATGCCAACAACTACACTCAAGTCTAGGAGACAACATATACACCATTTTCTGTATTTTCTTGTCATATGGACCACTGTTGCTCAGTGGAATGAAATTTCTTACTTCTTTTTTTAAATCAGATGAAAATCGATGCTGATATTGCAGGTTGATGTTATCTATAAAATTTACTTCCCGTGGCCTAGCACAAGAATTGAGAGAAGCAAGATCTCTGAATCCTTTCCCAGCTGGGTTGTCTCTGTAGGCATCTTTCTTGACCTAGACACAATATGTCAATAGTTTAACTTGTCAGCTCAGGTTTAATATGCTCTTAACTCTTTACCTTGTTTTGAAACTGCTGTGGTATATATGACACAATATGTTTGATTGTTCTTTACACAGAATTATACCATACATGTATATACTGTAAGATGGAGGTGATAGAAATATCAGACATCCTTTTGATGTTGCATGAAAGTAATCTGCCATAAGTCTGGCTGTTTTATGTCTTATCAAGGCTTCAAGTTGGGAATTCAGGGTTGAAGATGGGTATCACTAAATGTACAAATCATCTGGAATGGCCACTGTATAAACTCCAGGTTGGCATGTTTGAGACACTTTTCTGATAAAACTGTAGAAGAGATAATGATGTATGAAAAATAAAACATAGTACATGTAGTCTGAAAGGCAGCTGTTTTAGGAGTGTCTCAGTGTCTGAAGTGCCACAAAAATATGAATGAGTCTGAAAAGGAAAAGTGTCTCCTGGAGTGGCTTTGGACCATAATTGTATATTGAACAAGATGTTTTTGTTCCTTTTTTCTCAGCCTTGACTTGAATGTAGGACCGGTGCACAGTTCTTTTTAAAACTAAGGTTTTCTAGTAGCATGTATCCTTTTTATACTCAACACCGAAAATGTTTCTGTGCATCTAAGAAATTATCTCCTTGGCGTGAAGTGTAATTTTACTCATTTAAAGTAAAAACCATCTAATCTAGGGACTCTCTAAATTTAACTGTGCATGGAAGAGCAAAAGATCATACTTGGGATTCCTGGAGTGCTTGCTGTGCTTGTTACCCCCTGTCTATATGACCAGACAGTTACATGCCAAATGTACAGCAGAATACCAGGGTACTTAGTCTGTCAGACAATCAGTGCAGACAAGCATGGATCAGATGCTACACATTCCATGGGTAGGTCTCAGTGGGAGCTGTGGCAGTGGTATCATTTAGGATGACTTACAATAAGTCTTAATCAACATTCCCTTTTTGTTTCCTTTTACTTTTAGAGGGTGTAACAGGGAAATGTTTAACATCCATCCACCATGTGTTGTTTACATGTATTCTGCCTTTGGCATTCGTATTGGTTATAGCGTACATACATGTAAGCAGCACAGGGTAGTGATTGGGACAGAGAATTGTGGGCAAAAAGATTGTGGAGTGATATAGAAGAAAGGAGTTTCCCATAGTCCTGCCTAGTCCATTTCTAGCATGCATACATGAATGTAACAACATTGTTGTACCTTCTTAGATCTTCCATCAGTGTCAGCCACATAATGTAGTGACTCTTTATCTAACGTCACATGCCAAACCTTGGGTGACTAAAGACACCTGTGGGTTTATCTTTATGGTTCCCTCAAGCTGTTTTGAGTCATAAATCAGGAGAGTTAATCTGCCTAAGAGTATGTTGACCTCTTTGTTTTCAAACTTTTAATCTATAAAACTTTCACTCTTTTCAATATGACTGTTCAATTGGGAAAGTTCAAGAGAGGGTCAAGATTTTCTTTTTTATTTCCATTAATTTTTCGAGAGATGCTCTATGTCTATATTTGGCCTTAAGTATATAGAGAGACTATAGAGACATTCACAACAACCCTTCTCTTTCTTAGATTTTGGGTTATCCTTTTTAGTCTGTTATACGAAACAGCCATTTGAAAGATGAATTGTCACAACGAAATGTTTTATAGTCTTACTCTAAGGTACATTGAAATTCATAGCTATATAGATTTTGCTAATGTTATCTACAATGTAATATACATGCATTATACATATCTTCTTCTTGTTTGTCCCTGCATGTATATACCTGATAGTGCCCCAAATTTATTTATAGCACAGCATTACAAATGTACCTGCCTTTTAGCAGTAGCTTCTGTGAATAGATTATTGCGAAGATCTTTATTGCGAATTCTAGAACTCCCAAGAGTTTTATTGTTGCCAGCAAGTAAAATATTCATGATTCAAAAGATGTATCATCCTACTTATTCTTAGGGCTATTCCATTTTTAAGTCGAGCGTGGCCCGAGACTGTTTGGAAATTTTCACTTATTTGGAATTTTGATAAACACCTTTTTATTTCACATGACTTATTTTATTATTATGAATCTTCTTCGAATTCTCTTGTCTTTTTTCCCAACTTTTTAATCTTATCCCAACCTCTTTTATCTTGTGATATTTTGGCAGAGCCCAAAATACAAACTGCATGTGATCAATTTTGACATCATTTGTGGCCAGACAGTAACAGAATTTGCACCATTGCGACATGGCTGGTAGCTATCTGTCCCCTACAGTCAAATTTCTGCATTGCACCATGGAATATTGATTAGATGTGCACTCAGTATGTTCATATCTCACATGTTATGTATTCCCCTCACAGAGAAAGTGCGCAAGGACATTATGCAGAGAGGCTCCCACGGCCTTGAAGTGCTACTGGCAACACTAGAGGTATGTTTAAAATACTAATATTTTCACAGCTACTCCTGAGTGAATTTGACACATCGGTGCATGTCAGTTGTTATAACCTCTATGTTTTTGCTAGGCTGTGATTGCAGTCGACAAGATAGCTATATATGTACATGTATATGGGATTTTCAACATTTGATCACATTTTGGAATCTATGTTATCACTCCCAATCTAAACCCATGAATTTACTTAAAGATTGCCAGACAACATATGTGTCACAGAGGATATCTAATGTTTATTTTTCTTTCTAGATATGTGCATATCATTGACATTTCAATAGGCCCCTGCTGAAAGAATGAATGTTGAAGTCTGTCTGTGTTGTTCTGAAGACAGTATCTTGTTTCTCATTCCAGAGGTCAACAGACACCAGTGTCTCCCAGAACGTGGTCGCCATTCTGAGTGAGCTAGTCTGTAGTGGTAAGTTTCACACTGATGATGCCCCAATAGATGTACATCTTTATATCTCATTCTATGGAGGTTTTGTTTTTAGTGTGTCTGTGTGTTTGCTTATATTCACATGGTTATTTCCATGTGCTACAGTGGGCACTGACAGGATTTTAGGTCAGAAAGGTCCTAGAAAAGGTCATCTCATTTTCTGTTTCCAGTTTTTTGCTATATGAATGCATGTCTGTTGCATTATGAGAGCAAATGCGAAATGCATTACTATAAAGACAGAATCAATGAGAAATTTAACAATTAAAACAATCTTCATTTTAACTCAAACATTCTGTGTGGTTGACCTGTAAGTTTCTAGAAATGGTTGTATCAAATACAACTGATGCAGATAGGAGACCCTTACTCCTTGGTACAACTACAAGGTACAGGATTTTACTCAAGATA